GGCTGTATGTTTCTGTTTTAGTTCTAATTTTCGTTATCTGCTCACGACATTTATTAGTTAGGAATTTATTCGTGACCTGCCAGTTGTGCCTCGCATCATTGGCATTATCGAACTTTCTTCTGAAAATTTTCTCGTTTTGTACATTTAAGTGCAGCTGCAGGTAGTGAACATCTCATAATGTAGCTATATCGAATAAAGAAATACGAGCACCGAAAGAAAATTTGAGGAGGTATATCTGCACTGCCAGTACCGGCTTAACACACTCCTCCATTCCAAGTTGAGTGTAACGAACTGCGGTCACCTACTGCAGACCTATTCACTTTTCTTCTATCCTGTTTCTCTATTCGGACTGACAAGACACTAGCCCAACAAGAAGCATACATAATCTTGATCCTCGTAGCGCAGTGTCATTCTTCGTATAGGTAGGCTTCCTTAGCTTCTCACTAATTTTGAAAATATTTAAGGTGACATGCTTAGATTCCTCATTAAACTTGAAATTTGACCATCGGCTGCGACTGATTTACAGCGTCGGGTATGAGTGATTCAATTATCATCATCATTACATATGGCGTCACCATTCAACTTTGTCATGGCGTCGCATATCGCAAAAGTTTGTTTCGTAATCATGGCATCACAAATTATGGTGTGATTTCATGTTACGTATTATAACTGCCACATGATGGCGTTACGAGGTGATTCAAGGCAAATGAGACATGTTTCTTTGCGATCAGGCATACAGTATGTAGCTCAGTATTCGTTTCGAAGAAGAAAACCACAAAAGAAGCATTGAAACTGCACAATGACTGATAAGGCTCCTGCAAAGAAAAGCAGCATCCAATCACGCGTTCCCGGCGAAGATTAGGTTGAAGTTGCTTCGCACTACAAACGCGGGCTTCGAATATCTGCGCTTGCGTTTCCCGCTTTCGTATATAAAAAGAAGAACCGTCGGGTAACTCATTCAGTTCAATCAGCACGGAAATCAAATGCACCAGGAGCACAGCAAGAAAACAACGCGCAGCGAAAGGAACACATTCGTCTTAGTGAAGATGGTCGTGAAACAGCTTCGCTGGACATTCACTTTTCGGGATGACCGTCAATCTTTAGTGAAGTAAACCTAATGAAATACGAATCAGGATGACATGGATCATGCATCGAAGCCCACCGTATACATACCTGGCGGCTTACACTTTTATAATACATTCGCTTTTGCACGGAAATCCATATCTGAGAATGGGCCGCAGCTTTCGAAAACAACAAAGCGCATACCTCTATGGCGGGCCAGTTCAGCTGGAACTCGATCATGGCTCGCAACCAGTCGCCGAAGCCCACGGCGGGCCACTTCTTGGAACCCAGGTGGAAGTGGGCGTAGTTGCACTGCAGTACCTCGAAGTCGCTGAAGCGCTGGTCTCCCGCCGAGCGCAGAAGCAGCTCGGCCGGCGGACACTCGGTCAGAGAAACGTACTCGTCCAGGAACGCGGCGGTCAGGTCCCTGAGAACATGCCATTTGTTTGGCACAGAGCGCAACTCTAGGTTCCTGCCCTACACTCCACGGGCAGTCCGCGACACTCCTATACCCGACACTTCTCTAATCCGCATAGGGCTCCTGCCGTGGTGGCCTTGTGGTCATGACGCTCGAATGCGAACTCGGAGGTCACGGGATTTTTGATGGAGGTGAAAATACTGGAGGTCCACGTACTTGGATTTAGGTGCACGTTAGAGAACACCAGGTAGCCGTCATTCCAAGAGCCCTCCACTGTGGCGTACTCTCATAATCATGTCGTGACTTTCGGATGTAAAACTGCAACAATTATTATTATTATTATTATTATTATTATTATTATTATTATTATTATTATTATTATTATTATTATTATTATTATTCAAAGTGCATGTCTCGCTACGTGAACTTGACGGGAAAGGGCTTCAGCGTGTCACAATAATTGGGATGTTAACTGTTTGCCGCGTAAGCCAGGCCATAACCGGAAACATTTTTTTTTGCGTTGGGAAAGGAGAGGGTGACATTTTGCATGTCTATGCGCGTTTATCGTATGCGTAAGGGCACGTATGTGCATACAATATATCAGGATTGCGGAAAAGGTAGTGAATGCCGCCAAACCACCCATCTGACTCATGGCAACATCAGAGCGCAAAACGAGACATTCACAAGAACGAGATGCATGGAATGTTTCTGTGATTTTATGGTTTCGCGCTCGAATGTTGCGAAAAGTCACGTGGCATCTGACTGAATGTGAATTTTTGGTAAATCTTCAGGGTTTCTGACCATCCGCCCGTAGAAACGCCATCGGAGACTGCCTGAATAATAGAATAACATTTATCAGTTTAGACATACCTCAACGGTTAGGTAAATTAACAGCAAAATACTTCAAACCCTTAACCTTGGCCACGGCGGGGCACACACCACGTGCACGAACACTCGCCGCAGAAGTCTGTCGGCGACTATCCCATGGCATCCCCTGGTCCGTTCTTAAAAGTTATTTCTGGCATCTGGAAAGTGCGTATGGCCGTCTTATAACGTCCCGCGTCGTCGTCAGTGGGGCGAGTAGATTTATCCCTATGCGATTACCACAAACCTCTGAATTCCCGCTCTTTTGATGTAGTGGGGCCCATAAAACGACGCCTAAATGTTGGAAAACATGCTTGCAAGGCAGCTACTTAAGACGTACGATAGAAAAATGTTCATTTTGATTTTTGATGATAATAGCTATATTAACTTTCTGGGATTCACGTCTGAAAGTCATGACAATATTATGAAACGCAAACAAAGCGTATGAGCAAAGCGTATAAAAGAGAAACGTAAAGCGCAAGTCTCGCCTTCGTACAGCGAATGTATGCGTTAAGGTTCGTATTCTACAAAAAGGGTACGGCATCTATAACGTGAGTTTCACCAAATGACTTTCCAAACCCTATCGCGGTTGATTGTTACACTACAAGGCCTCCTAATTATAGCAGGGTACTACTTTAGATGTATGGGGCATTTTCTCCTCAAGGTCGAACGCAAGTACACCTGCTGCACTACTGCGTGCGCACGCCAGGCTGACGTCATGAGCAGGATGGTCGGTGATCTCTCCTTCGAAGAACAACGCGGAGTGTACGAGCGTAAGTATTACTTTAGTCGCATAGGCCATTGGCTGCCGCACTTCGGTCGTCTGGGCGAGGCTTCTCCGGATTTATTAATTTGCGTACGACTCTAGCTTTGAACTCATTTACGAGAACTTACTCGGTGTAGATGACTCCTTCTTTAACGGCCGTGACCAAGAGCCGAGCCATCCGAGACATCTGGTACGTGGTATTGTAGGCAGCGCACGACATTTGTGTTCGGAGGCTGAGTGAAATAGAAAAAAGAAAAAGTAATCAAAATAATCTACTTATGCCGTTATATACTTGCTCGCTCACTGATGCGACGAATGTTGTCCTGAGTTTGAGGTTTCATGGAAGAGTGGGTGGCAGTATACAACAGTGAAAGCACGCACGCTCACACGCACACACACACACACGCGCGCACACATGAACACACGTGTGCGCACACACGTACACAAGCACACACATGCAAGCACAAATAAAACTGCCGAAGCTTACTCTAAGCCACGCAAAGTTTGAAATCAGCGAAACTCTACCACTCTGAAGAATAATCTGGTTGCTTCTACTATAGCTTATTTCTGACCCTTAAGCAAGTGACACTAGGTTGTTTCTAAATTTATTCTTAGCGCGGAGATGTTCGAGTTAAACCAGGGGCCTACACACGATGCCGATGTCCAAGCTCCAGGAACATAAATTCGCACTGGAACCAAGCGTTCGAACCCCTCAGAGATCTGTGGGCACATCTTCGTTTCCCGTAGGCTTCCATCATTTCGGTATCTTCTTCTGCCAGCCGCCATTTTCTTCCCCATTCCCTAGCATTCTCCCATTGTGCATACCGGGGTCTTCGGATCGCTGCCATCGCTTCGCGGTCATTTGTTGGGCTAAATGTTCCCTTTGTAATGAAGAAGTTCTAAAATTTTAGTGCGCCAGTGGTGAGGAGTGGGAGTCACGTAACCTCCATAGAACATAGCAGTTTATGATAGTTTCATGGTATACGGCTCACGGCACATGCCCGAAAGCCAACCGAAATTGCATCTAGCTTAAACAACTTCGCTAATTAAAGATTTACGACCCATATGAACTTGTCTTGAAGGAAAGCAAAAGTCGTCTTGATTTTCTTCTCAACCGATTGCATTGATTCCTTCCCTCGATTGCTTTCTGCACCTCAAGTCGTTTTACGATGCCTCCGGAATTGGCCCAGCTTTGACCAAGAGGCGATGTGTTGTGATGGCGTCATTACGTAACGTCACAAAGTTTTGCGACATGTGATGTCTTGATAACGTATTGTGACTCATTTTTCAGCTTGCCATATCTCGCATCAATTGCGTCGACGTCACCGACGGTGAAGTTTTTGCGACTGAAGAGGCCTCAAAACATTCGGCTTAATAACAAAAGTTGAAGATGAGCAGTTTCTGAAAGGGAAACAAATTGAATGTCGTCTTCAAGGCACAAACGTCTTCTGGCTAGATAGAGGGGGAGGCTGTATAAGCGTAAAATACGGCCGTTAATTAGTAATGAGTTTCGCAAGTACACGATGGAGTCAACCGGTCGCTTTGACGACATCGATTTCATGACTAGAATGAGGAAAAAGCTGTCGCACAATCGAAGACATTGGCTGGCTGCATTCACGTGATTGCAATTTGTTAAAATAGGTATGACCGAAAGTGTTACTGTGAAACAAATACTTCGCTTGTTCTCTGTGGCAATGTTACGCGGAATCCGTGAAACAACGAAAGCGAACAGATCCGAGTGAGTCGTGCGAGGAACCTATACAACTCCGCTATAAATGTTAGCCAGAGGATGTACATACCTCTGGCGCGCTCTTGAACGTACGGGCACGTGCGATGACGTCACACTTACCTCTTCTCACGTATGCTGGACGTGGCAATCTCAGAGCGAGCCAGACTAGAGCGCAGTTCCTCGGGTAGCCGCTCGAGGTCGCCGCAAGCGCAGGACTGCATTCCCATGGCGCGGAACGCGTCTCTGATTGAGAAAGGAGATAGCGTGATTACCGGGCGCAGACAAGAGAACTTAACCACACCAGAATATTGCTGTCAGATGGCGTTCAGATCATGTAAGTTAGAATGATGCTTAAAAAGGTAATAATTATATTTTACGTTTCAGCGCAATGATCTGATAATGAGGGGCACTGTTATTTAAGCCTCCGAATGTTTTTACCATTTGGGTTCTTTCAGCGTGTACCTATATCTATAGGTGTGTGTACGGGCAAGGCGGAAGGGGGTGGGGCACCTTTGCCAGTGCTCTAAGAGGGGGGTGGGTGCAAAGCCTGCCTCCATACATCGGGTTAATAGGGAGGGGGAGCGTAGTCTGCCCTTTGAATAGAGCCAATAGAGAGATGCGCGCTGTGACGAACCTTCGCCCCCACTTTCATCAAGGGGAGCCTTGCGACGCCTATGCCTATATTTAAATGCATGATCCTCTAGCATTTCATCATCTTTATCATCATCTTCATTATTATCATCATTCACTGCCTGACTACTCCCACACATGGCAAATGCCTCGCCTATGTACTGCCAGTCAACCCGGTCCTGTGCTTTCTGCATGCTTCCACGTTATACCTGTAAAGTTATTAATCTTATCTTCCTACCTAGTTTTCTTTGTCCCCCTCACACACCTGTCTTCTTTAGAAATTCAGTAAGTTATCCTTAATGATCATCGGTTATCCTACCTACGCGCTGCCTGCTCGGCCCATGTTCATTACTTCTTGATTTCAACTATAATGTCCTTAACACCCGTTGGTTCCGTGACCTATTCTGCTCTCTTCTTGCCTCTTAAGGTTACACCTAAAATTTTACAATTCATCGCTCGCTGCGTCGTCTTCGATTTAAGTGAAACCCTGTTTCTAAGCGTAAAGTTCTCTGCTACCTAGGTAAGTACTGGTAAGATGCAGCTGTTATATACGTTCCTCTTCAGGGTTAGTGGAATACCATTTGTGTTGCGAGAATGCTTGCCGATTGTGCTCCACCCCGTCCTCATTCTTTAAGCTCTTTCGCCACGAAAGTGAAATAACTATAGCATTTCACCTCCGTCGAGATGCGGCCGCCGTGGCTTACGATTCGATCCCACAGTTTTCTGGCCGGATATTGAACACTGTCACCACTAGACCACCACGCTTGGTGAACGCATATGAAACAGGACTAAACCCATAGTTTTAGAGCTAACAAATAAGGCTTTATGAGCTGCTATGGTTTAGGGCGTCGGTTCTATTCTCGGTCTAAGCTTCCGCACTTCGTTGCAGACGAAATACGAGGATATTTATGCGCTCAATTAGGTGCGAGAGCCCCGCCACGGTGGCCTAGTGGCGGCTGCTGGCCCGCAGATCACGGAATCAAATCCCCGCTGCGGCGGCTGCATTTTCTATGGAGGCGGAAATGCTGTATGCCTGTGTGCTCAGACTTGGGTGCACGCTAAATAAACCCAGGTGGACGAAATTTGCCGAGCCCCCCACTATGACGTCTCTCATAATAAGGCTCTCATAAGGCTCGAAGCGGCCTAATAAAACAAGACCTGTAATCGTCAAATTGATAGATTATCGCGAAAAACTGGAAATTTTGAGGAACTGTGTGAAACTTATATGTAACTGAGGACTTTTCACAAAAGGTGCGTCAGGCCAGGAATAATCTATGGGACAGCACAGTTGTAAACAAGGAACGAAATGAATGTGTTAAGCTACTCTTCGATAAGGTGTCTGTGAATGAAAAGCTGTTCGTTCGGGACGAGACCAAGAATGATATGGTTGCCCTTCCCAGGTACGTGCCGAAGTGACAGGAAAGCCCGCGTTCATTGAAACTGTTAAATGTGAATTGCCGTAGCATTCTGAACAAAGAGCTCGATCTTGAACATCTGATAGCACTTCATGACCCCGACGTAGTCGCACTCACAGAAACATGGCTTCATGACGGCGTCTATGACAGCGAAATTGCGCCTTCGGGGTTCAACGTGTACAGAAGGGATTGTGGTTCCAGAGGGGGCGGAGTTGCGTTGCTGGTTAAAAATATTTACAGGATAGCACGCATGCCTGATGCCCCTGGCGTTGAGGTTTTATTTTGTAAGCTTATCGATAGAAAAGAAAGCCTTGTTATTGGAGTTGTGTATAGGGCCCCTGCCTCAATCCCTGAGGTTTTAGAACAATTACAGCTGTATATTTCGTCTAAAACAAATCAAACTACCAAGCTTATTTTATGTGGAGACTTCAACCTTCCAGGCATCAACTGGTCTTCGTTTAGCGCAGGAAGTTCTGATCCCATTAACGATGAAGCGCTTATTGACATTGCCTTCCGTTTTGATTTAATGCAACTAGTTAGTGATTGCACTCGTGTGCAAGATAACAGTAAATCTATTCTTGATCTTGTCTTTGTGAATGGTAATATATCCGGAAAAATTGACTGCGAAGTGGTTACAGGTATTTCAAATCACATGGCAGTCTTGGTTGAGCTTCACTCGCTGAAGTACAAAAATGATGTTAAATACACACGTGTGCCAGTATTTCATTCTTCCGACGATGCATCCATCATAGACAGACTGGTGATAGCCTACGACGAACTTTGCAAAAGTGTTAATCTGGGTTTGATTGATGTTAACGCTCTGTGGTTAAAGTATAAGAACACTGCGCATGCGTGCATACAGCTTTTTGTTCCTTTCAAGAAAAAGAAGGTACATATATCGAAACCCTGGATTACACGAGATATAATTCACATTAAGAGAAAAATTATTCGTCTTCGGAAATCACTGAAAAAGCACACGAGTATCACAACACGTTCTCTGATCCGAGATCTGTCTCGACAACTAAAAAATAAGATGAAGATCGAACAACGCAGTTTTTACGATGTAAAGTTAACTCACATGATGAAGGAATCGCCTTCTCATTTTTGGCATTTTATAAGGCCAAAGTCATCCAATAGAGACTCGTTTGTTATAAATAACGTTTGCACATCAGATGAAACAGAAATAGCCAATGCATTTAACGAACACTTCGCATCTGTTCTTACTCGTGATGACAAAACCACCCCCACTTTTAGCAAGTTTAAAGACCTGCCTCCCATTGAAAATCTGGAAGTCACAGAAGCTGGCGTATTTGAATTATAACTGAATTTGAATGTAAGAAAATCCTGTGGCCCAGATGACTTACCAAATGCCTTTTTAAAGAGATATGCTGAATGGTCCTCAAAATTTTTGACAATTATTTTTAATGAATCGTTATCCAGAGGTGTCCTGCCT